TTAATATATTATATTAATTAGGAGGGGGGGTATTTTTTCTCTGAATTTATCTTATCTATTTCGTTATGTATAATTTATGAATTATTTTGCACATGTTGTTCGTCGTTGACTGAGCTCCACCATGTCCAAGTGGTTCTCATGCTGCGTTCAGACCGCAAGCAGCAGAAGCAGCTAGTTTACCAGCAGTCAACGGTTTACGCGCATCAAGGCGCAGCAAATGGTCCTGCAGCGTGTTTTCAGCAGCAGGAGCAACGTCTCATGAGCTTCTGATGCGTGCAACGCTCCTCAAAAGCAGCAGCTGCTGGAGTTGGAGAAATTTAACTTTAGCTGCTGGACGCGCCACATTGACCAATCAGAGAAGCTGATCTGGGAGCTGGCAGGGAGACAGACACAGCATTGCTGATGCAGAGCGCTATGATCACTCCTCTGAAACTGTTTATTAATGTCTAAAGTAACTTAAAATGTCGAAACCTGCCGGCAAAATATGTTGGATTGTAATTTTCTGGTGCCTGCAGTTTGGATTACATACGTGAAAAACGCTTTCCAGCCGCGAACAGTAGCGGAAAACCGCGAAGAGGCAACCGGGCCAGAAGCTGCTGTGGAATGGGATTCGTATTGACAGAGCACCGTCGGTGTACGGGGGTCTGAGTTACGGAAGCCAAGAGCGGTCGTGTCCCTCAGATACTTTTTACACTCTGGTTTTCTTGAGAAAACAAGTACATTTTCTCATTGTCTTAAGATAACAAAAGCCGTTTTCTCATCATAACGAGATGATTGGTGTATTTAAAACTGATAACATCCTTCAATATCAGCGGGAGAGGATTTATAAGTATAACTCATGGCAGCCAATGTGAAATTTTTTAAATAATCCTGTGTTTAACTTTTAGGTAACGAGACGACGTTGGTTTGATGATTTGCTTCCACTTATGATTCATAAGCAATTAGACCTAACCTCCGGCGCCGTAGCGCCTGGTGTTACGCCAGTAACAGGTATAAGATGCATTAACCCTCAAAATGAGTCCAAATTAAAGTTTTTCATTAAAAAAAAACTGATTTGTTTCTACTGTAATCCACGCAATCCAATTATCCACCACGACCTGACAATCATTGAAAAGAAATAGGAAACTAAAAAACTTATTTGCCCACAAGTGGTACCCCGACAGTATGGTTACCGTAGGCGTCTCGTTATCTCAAGAAATCTATAACTGTTTCCTAGTGATAATGAGATAATTATCTTATTATCCCGAGAAAACAATTAATGGTTTAACTGTGATAGCGAGAAAGTTATGTCATTATCTCGAGAAAAAAAAGTCAAGTATGACCGCTCTCTGCTTCCGTAATGAGCAGCTCCAACAACGAAATAATATTTGGCAGGATGATAATCTGGATGAACTGACTGCACAGATGATGTTTTCAGGAGGACTTTCCTACTTAAAAACATATTCAAACTACTTTTACCCACTGATCACAGCAAATATAGCTGTCATTGTTCCAGGCAAAGAAAGGGTAGGGTAGCTCCGCCCATCACGCATCAAACCCACTTTTTCCACCTAGAACAGCAAAGATTCTTCAGAAATGCGTCAGAACTAAACTTGTACAAGCATCAAAAATAAAAGGACGTGCGTTTTTGNTTAGTAGGAAATACTTAAACAATGGTGAGTAAAAAGGAAAATAAATACCATGAATGTAATTTGAAACAAAATAAACAATTTCATCCAATAATCCTGAAGTAATAGCTTTAACCTAAACATAAGTAGATGGAAACTGCAACATAATGCTAACACAAACAAACCCGGGATAGTAAGTGAAAGTCAAAGTTACAAACTAATGTTTAAATTTAAGCATTACAAAGATTCAGAAGAAAGAATAAGGGACAAGTGGTAAACACAAACTAAACCACTTTGTCACAGCAGCCAATGTGAAATTTTTTAAATAATCCTGTGTTTAACTTTTAGGTAACGAGACGACGTTGGTTTGATGATTTGCTTCCACTTCTGATTCATAAGCAATTAGACCTAACCTCCGGCGCCGTAGCGCCTGGTGTTACGCCTGTAACGGGTATAAGATGCATTAAACCTCAAAATGAGTCCAAATTTAAGTTTTTCATAAAAAAAAAAAAGGTTTGTTTCTACTGTAATCCACACAATCCAATTATCCACCACGACCTGACAATCACTGAAAAGAAATAGGAAACTAAAAAACGTATGATTTGCCCACAAGCGGTACCCCGACTGCACACTATGGTTACCTTAGGCATGGATGGACTGGGAATCCAGGGCTGTTGGCCAGCCTCATTCATTACTCATACAGGTTAATCGTCTCGTTATCTCAAGAAATCAATAACTGTTTTCACGTGATAATGAGATAATCATCTTATTATATAGAGAAAATAATTAATGGTTTAACTGTGATAACGAGAAAGTTATGTCATTATCTCGAGAAAAAAAGGTCAAGAATGACCGCTCTGGGCTCGCTGTGTGGGTCAAACAACGAAATTATATTTGGCAGGATGCTAATGTGGATGAACTGACTGCACGGATGAAGTTTTCAGGAGGACTTTCTCACTTAAAAACTTATTAAACTACTTTTTACCCACTGATCACAGCAAATATAGCTGTCATTGTTCCAGGCAAAGAAAGGGTAGGGTAGCTCCGCCCACCGCGCATCAGACCCACTTTTTCCACCTAGAACAGCAAAGATTCTTCAGAAATGCGTCAGAACTAAACTTGTACAAGCATCAAAAATAAAAGGACGTGCGTTTTTGCTGCCTTTGCGGCGTGCGAGTGTAGCATCAGTGAAATAAGATACACTGTGTGTGCATTGGAAACTGCTATTAATATAACTATCGTTGCTGTGTTTTTTTTTTATTATTTAATAAAAGTATTTTAGGATATCACTGAATGACTCTGTTTTTTTCCAATTTAGGTTTTCACCACCAGCTGCCGCAGACTATGAAGCTAAAACCTTTGCCTCTGGTGGACTTTTTGCCGTTTTAAATGAAATGAACTTCCTTTCTGTTGCTTAATGTTTTGTGCTTTTACATGATATTTTATTGGTAAATTTATTAACCCTTTAAAGCCTGATCCAAGAATAAAACAAAAAAGAAAATTACTTTTTTTTGGTTTGAAGTCCTTATTTGGCCTTTTAACAAAATATATAGAAAGAAAAAACCGAAATACACTTTTGATATTAATAATTTATTACTATGCGATAAGTCAAGATTATTTTTTGTTTAGTATTCTGCCCTCTGTTATCAGGTATATCTGATTGTGTACAATAGGATTTTGAGCAAAGTTTGTACCGTTAAATTATGCAAAAGGTGTCAGACGCAAAACATTTCAGAAACCGTATGTATCAAATATGATACATTTGGCATTACAGGGTTAAATATGATAATTAAATTCACAACAAAAACGATTTCTAAAGCTGCAGAATGAAGCTGCAGGGTAGGCAGGAGTATAAACCTGTGTGACCAGTGGAAACAGGCAGCAGGAGAGTCTCCAGCTTTAAAATGAACGTAATCAAAGACATTATTTTAGAAATGATTTTATTCTAGAGTCATGGTGACTGGAATTATTTCCAGAAATGAACCAACGTGTCTTTTCTGTCTGCTGTGTGTCTTTCAGAAAGCCTACTGTGGCCACTGTGGTGAGCGGATATGGGGGCTGGGCGGGCAGGGCTACAAGTGTATCAGCTGCAAACTGTTGGTCCATAAGCGCTGTCACAGACTCCTTCCTCAGACCTGCCAAAGGCTTATGGTGAGTTCTTCCTCTGCAGACGGGCCCAGCAGGAAGCTCTGCTCGGAGATCAGGTTACATGTGTGAGGATTGCATCCCCTCCATCATGTCTGAGCATCACAGAGCTCATAGATGCATGCAGTGATTTAGCATCGCCTGGAGGATTCTGAAACTGTTTGTCCAGGACTCAGAGGAGATCAGGAAGGTTACTGAATTCACATCGATGCCTTTTTGTTTCCTGCTTCCTCACACTGACCAATCAGAGCATGTTTTAAACTGAAAGAAAGGCCTTTTTTTTTTTTAGAAAGCTAAGCTGATCTCCGGCCCTTTTCTAGAGATAATCCTCCTGTAGAGACGCTCCATCTTCATAAAAATCCTCCACCAGCAACAGGAGAAGGTGTTTCATATCCTAAAAGTATCTTAGCATAAAGCCTGCATGTAAAATTAACCCTTCGACAACAAGCTTCACTAATTGGCAGATGTCATCTACTCCTCATCTACAGTTTGTGATCCAGGAATCCTTTGTTTGTGTGTTTCTTCTGCTGATACGATTCAGTTCTGATCAGTTTATTTCTATAGCACCAATTCAGAACACGTCATCTCAAAGCACCATCATGCAGCATCATGCCGTCAGATTGAGTCAAAGTTTTCTATCTTAAGCCGGGCGTACGCTGTGCGATTTTTTTTCAATCGTTGTAAGCAGCTACAGCTCACACAGTAGGAGGAAACCCTGCGGTTTCCTCCTACTGTGTGAGTTCACAGCTCACGTATGTATGTGCAGCACGATACTCTGATGCGATCTACCTGCTCACACTGTACGTCTAAAAACCGCGTGGGACTCAGCTCCGCAGTGAGATGGAGCTGCTCTCGTCTATCTGGAAGCAAAACCAGTAGAAGAGGAATAAGAAGCTCACTAGAGTGAAACGCGCTGCCTTGGCAGTTTGTGCAATTTTGTACTGAAAGCCCTAAAAAGAAAAGGCAACAACGTATTTGAACAAAGACATGGCTGAGCAAACATGGCTGCTACGGTCTGTCAATTTTACAGACAGAACTGCATTTCGCTCATTGCACCCCCGCCATGCTTCTGTATTTTCTCTCTTTTCTGAGGGGAAGAAGAAGAAGAATCCTTGTTTGCCCACTGAGTGATTTGGCCACAATGTTTGATTTTCTCCCGATTCCTGATCAGGAGGTGATTGTGGGAGGCTGATCTCCCCTCGTTCCCCCTCGTACACAACACGACGCACGATCAGGCTGAAAGTCAGGCCCATCGGAAAATTCTCGCACGACTGGAAAGTTGCCTCGAAAAGGGCAAAAAAATCGCACAGTGTAAGCCCAGGTTAAGGAAAACCAGTTGATTGCATCGACTCATTGACTCCTCAGCAATCCCTCACACTAAGCATGCTTGTAGCGACAGTGGAGAGGAAAAACTCCCTTTTAACAGCAGAATGATCAGTTCCTGTATGTAATGTTCCAGCTTTCAGCCCTAGGAGGCCCTGATTCTAATGGAGCCGACATGAATCTGATCAAACCGCGCACTGTTAGCCTCAGTCTGCTGGGATGTTAGCAAACATGTGGACTGAACCGTCTGCAGCATTTTATTCCTGTTGAACAATCCAGGCTGTGAGATAATATGAGCTGAATGACTGCAGAGCAGAGAGGATTGTTTTCTCTATCCATCCACCCTGGATGGAAACAATGGGAGGGAGGAGTACGAGGATCATTTGGTGGAGGAGACCACCGTGTGCTCCGTTTGGCTCGGTTTCCATGAATGGATCTCCATGTCACCCTGAGCTCCATCCTTATTGGCTCATCGGAACAGGCAGGCTATCTGGAGGCCAAGATAACCGACGGTCTTTGAACCTCTCTGCGTGCGAGGCGGAGCTACAGCTTTGCTTCTGTTTGATAACATGCTTTGAACTGGAGCTACATAAACAAACTGAATCGGATATAAAAACAATCTTTTCATTGATCCTGTTTGGTCAGAAAAAAAAAACTAACCCAGTTTTACGTTTTATTTTTAAATCTGAGATGTTTCTCATCTGGACTCGTCTTCATGATGGATTCAAACATATATCTACTAACTTTATGTCTATATGATAAACCCACATGAAGTAGCACAGAATAATGGAAAAACATTTTTGAAACTAAGAAAAAAGTTATTTTCAGATTAAAATGTTTGTTTTTTATACCGTCGGATGTTTTTTTTTTTTTTAGTTTCTGGCCCTGTTTTGTTGTGGGAGCAGAGCTTTAGATGACGGGTGAGGAAACATGGCTGACAGCTCAATATGGGGGCCGAACTAAACAGCTGATGCCTTCAGGAACATGTTTAAAAACAAAGAAAAGAGAGAGAAACTAATTTTACTTGAAAACTTGAGCAGTTTAGAGATGCTGTAGAGCAAAGTGGGTCCTCCAGGGCCGCTGTCCTGCAGGTTTTAAAGGTTTCCCTGCTTTAGCACAGCCTGCTGCAGAGATCCATCGTGTCCCAGTGGGATTAAAACCAACAAGCAGCCTTTATGTTCTGACCTGGTCATGGAGCCCAGCAGGAGGAGCGGATGAAGAGGCCACAGCGAGTAGAGCTGTGAGGACAGAAGCTCTAGTCTGGTTTACTTTTAGAGCGGAGGAAAGCCTAATACATTTCCTTCCACTGAAATTTGTGTTTTTTTTTACATAAACAGCTTGGATCCATGAAGGATGTCATTAAAAACAAAACACATAACATAAAGAAGACCTCTGATGTTTAAAAGACATTCCCAGTTCCCACAGTTCCTAAATGCAACATCTGGAAATGTTTAGTCAGGCCTCTGTTTGCTTCTGTCATCTTAGGCTCCGCCCCCAAACAAAAACGGGGCCAGAAAAATAAAAACAAAACCGGATCTGAAAAACCGCAAACTATTTTCAAACTTTTGATTTATTTATGTTTCATATTTTCTTGCTATAAACTAATAGCGTAACTTTGGGGTTCTTCTTAAACTAATAAATTTTGTATTCAACATCTCAGCATCCAAATCAGTTCAGTTCTTATGGTTTTAAGCTTTTTATGTTCTTTGAGTTTTCATAGAACAGCTGTTCCCACACTGAAAACATTTTTTTTTTCCTAAGATAAATTTTTCTGAATTGAGGAGGTAAATGAGACAGTTTGTCAATGAGGAAAACAATTTACATGTGTAAAAATACTCATTTCATTGGCAAATCATCTTATTTACCTGCTCTAATTAAGGGTTAATACACTTAATTCAAAATTGTTTTACTTATTTTTAGATAATTTTTGCAGTGCAAACTTTTAGCCGTGCACCCCCATCCGTGTCCCAGTCAGGCTGACCAATCAGCCCCCTGCCGACACACACACACGTTGGTTCTGTTATACGTAGTGAGGACCATGTGTTGATTTCCATTGATTTTCAGTCATCTTTAAACCTTTCTATGCCCTAACACTAAAACTAACCATCACCAAAGCTTACCTCATCCTAACCCTAACCAATTAACACCTTAATCCTAACCCTAACCATTAGCAAAATAGCATGTGGGAACCGGCAAAATGTCCTCACTTTACAATAACTGATCCTCATCGTGATGGCAAGGCAAATTTATTTATATAGCAAAATTCAGTACATAGACAATGCAAAGTGCTTTACATGATTAAAATATAGGAAAATAAAACGGAATCAGAGCAAGTAGAAGAAAAAAAAATTATTAAAAAAATGCAGAAACAAGAAAGAACATTAAAAGCAGTTGGACTAAAGAAAATTTAAAAAATTGATGGTGAAATTGGAAAAATTGGTCCTCACTCTGAGGGCTAGACAGGCACAGCTTTGTTTGACATAAAGAAAAGCTTATTTTAAAGCTAAAACTAAAGGTGGAGTGTTTATTCATGCTTTAATAACCAGGAAACACATCCTAACAACAACAACAAGTGAAAAACCGAAGGGCTAGGGTGCACGGTTCAGAGTCATAGCACCATGTTATAGTAGTACCAAAGATTATCTGCGTACTACAATAACTTCCTCTGTTATTCATCTTAAAATAAATCGTAGAAAAATACTTCTTCTAATTAATTACATTTCCCTGTCAACAAATTTTTATTTATTTACTAAAGTTTAGGTTGGAATTTCAATTCTTACAAAGGAATTTTTTATTTAAGCATCTTTTTATTGTGTAATGAAAAAATAATCTGTAATAATCAGACCATCATTATATTTTTCGCCCCACTGATCCCCTAGTAGCAGCTAGAAGCCCACTCTGGGAATCCCTGGTGTGAAGTTAACTATTCAGTCTAAGGAAATATTTAAGTGCAGCTCTATTCTCCGCAGGGTGAGCTAATGCTAGGGGCTAACGCTGAGCTCCACGCCATCCGTCCAGTTGACCAAAGAGCAAAAGATCCACATCTCAGCTCTCTGAGGACAGGAATCAGGATTGGAAAATCAATGCCATAGATAGCGTGAGCGCTGACAGTCAGCTCAGTGTCTGAACATTGATCAGAGCTTCATCACGTTATCATCAGAGGCAGAGGAGAGATTCTGAGGAAACACAAACTTCTCATTTCTTTGGCTGCTTTACCTGAAACCAGTCCTCAAATGCAGTTCTCCTCCTCCGTCCTCGCTGATGTGATTCAGCACACTCTTCACCAAGAGTGTAAAATCATCCGAGGACATGTCGCTGGATATCTGGGCCATCGCGTCGGTGGATATTTAGATGAAGTTCTCAACTTGTTTTTTCAGGATCCAGTCATGCCATCGCAGGAGCCCCCTTCAGACGCCAGGAGTGAGGAGGTGGACCTTCCACCGGACGATGCAGAGGACACGGATGGGAGTAAGACACTTCTTCTCTTCACAGCAGGAAGAGCCTCTGAATGTTTGTTCCTTCATACATACCGGTAATCATCTGGTTCATTTTTCAAAGCATTTTCCATTGTGTTGGATTAAGGAAGCTCCCTTCTGCAACTGCAAGTTTACAAAAAATAAATATAAAAAATGAAAAATGTCATCGTGGTTCCAAAAAGCTAAGCTAAACAAAAACACATTTAATACATGAGAAATGTCCCTTAATGAAGAAACTAAAATACTTCAGGTTTATCTTCACATTACTTATGAATTTTAATCAGTTCTTAGTCTTTATGCTTCTGCTTGTTACACGTTCAAAACACGGTGATGAATATATTAAGAGAGAGACTGTAAAATGATCAACAGTTTGAGTTTCAAAGAATGTCCTGGTGGGTTTCCTTCAATGGGAGGTGGAGCAAAGGTTTGAAATGAAAGCATGAGGAAAGAGATCAGTTTTACTGGTTAGTTGATGGAGATTGGAGTCAGGAAGGAGCAAGCCGAATTAACGAGTGTACGTCTGTGTTGTCAACTGGGTTCAGATGGATTGGAGGCGAACAGAAAGAGCTTCAGCACATCGGCTACATGAGCAACGCCACAGACAGGGAGCCTCAGCTCTGCTGCTGTAACACTAAGATACTATGGTGCTAAACTCAAACATGCTAAGTTTTAGCTATGAATCATTCAGGGGCTGCGTCTGCCAAACGCCAGATTCATCGACCAATTACGTCATAGCGCGTCACCGAGGCCTGATCGGGTTGGATGACTCCTCTTTATGCAGCCAACAAATGACGCCTTCTTTTCGCCCGTTTTGAAGGACGGGTCCGGTGTATCCTCCGTAGCCTTAGGTATCCCATGATCCATTGCGAGTTAAAGCAAGCCGGCTGCTTTTTTTACTGTTCACCTCATGAAAGGTGAAAAGAAAGGAGCTAGGAGCTGCCAGTAAAACAGTTAGACGCCTTTGTTTGCTGCACGTTATGTTTAACTCATTGAGCTGTTTTTTTTTTTATAAAAATATTTGA